GGATGGGCTGTAGCTCAGGGTTAGAGCATATGCTTCTGTTTACAACAAACATATCAGCTTCTGTTTACAACAAGCATATCAGCTTACCAGAAGGAACAACCCCCACGTCTCCTCTCCTGTGCACTGTTCCAAAGGCTCTCCTGAGTCCTTGGGCCAATTTTGAGGGCACACAGCAGGTGGAGAGAGGGGGAAGCCCTGTTGCATTTGTGGAAGCTCTTGCACAGGGCTTCAGCTGATGGGGATTGTTAGATGAATCTCACCTATAGTGTATGCAGATGCAGCCTAAGCCCATGTTTTTAGAGAGTGGGTTCCTGATGGGGGCGGAAAACCTGAAGGCAGCTGAGAGACCTAAATATAACTCTGAGCTCTAATGCAGACAAGCGAATGACTGTTTGAGTCTACATATACTTGCTTTGGGTTTCAGGTTCTGTGAAATGATTGACTCCTGATCCGATGAATCTGCTTTATTATAGGAAAGCAGACAGATGTTTATGTGGCTTTGACCAAACTACTATTCACCCCTTGGCATGTGGGTTGGTCAGAGTTACTCAGTTCTTCCACACTTCCACACTTATTGGGGGACAGGAGGTGGGCAGGTGTGGAGGACTCCCTGGTCCTGAATGGAGTAGCTGTGCCACTGAAGGACCAGGTGCACAGCCTGGGAGTCATTCTGGACTCAGGAGGTGCAGGTCAATTCTGTGTCCAGGGCAGCTGTTTATCAGCTCCAAGTGGTACGCAGGCTGAGACCCGATCTGCCCGCGGACTGTCTTGCCAGAGTGGTGCATGCTCTAGTTATCTCTTGCTTGGACTACTGCAATGCGCTCTATGTGGGGCTACCTTTGAAGGTGACCCGGAAACTACAACAAATCCAGAATGGAGCAGTTTCTGAGCACAATTCAAAGTGTTGGTGCGGACCCTTAAAGCCCTAAATGGCCTCAGCCCAGTATACTTGAAGGAGCATCTCCACCCTCATTGTTCTGCTCGGACACTGAGGTCCAGTGCCAAAGGCCTTCTGGTGGTTTCCTTGCTGCGAGGAGTCAAGTTACAGGGAACCAGGCAGAGGGCCTTCTCGGTAGTGGCACCCACTCTGTGGAACGCCCTCCCATCAGATGTCAAGGAAATAAACAACTACCAGACTTTTAGAAGACATCTGAATGCAGCCCTGTTTAGGGAAGCTTTTAATGTTTAATAGACTATTGTATTTTCATATTCTGTTGGGAGCCGCCCAGAGTGGCTGGTTAAACCCAGCCAGATGGGTGGGGTATAAATTATTATTATTATTTTATTATTATTATTATTATTATTATTATTATTATTATTATTATTATTACTGCTTTGCACAAGCAGCATGCAAGTCAGAGCACAGAACAACACAGGAATAGCATGGGACTATCTGGGCTGTACCATGCCAGCATGCAGGTGGAAATTCACATTCTTAGAAAGTCTCCCATACAAGAAATGTTGCCTGCACATAAAAAAATAACATGCCAGGGAGAAGGATTCTAGTGCAGTCTTGCACAAAGGTTTTTTTTTTTTTTTAGTGAGTATCAGTGGCTTCCACCCCCATGGAGGAACATTCCATCTTGTGACCCCCCTCCCATCAGTCCAAAGTGGTATGGTCCAGCCCTTCCTCATCGGCTGCCAGAAATCAAGCCATAGCTGCCACCCAGGGAGCATTCAATCAACATGAGATGGGCAAGATGGGAAAAGTTCAGAGGTTAAGAATAAAGCCAGGTGGTGGAGGAAGGACGACCTGATGGAAACCACAAAATGGCAACCCCATTCCTGCCTGGGAAGAAAGGGTGAGTGAAGATCTACACCAGCAACATATCTACATAGGGATCTGCTGCCCTTGTGGATCTTGCTACCAGAGGCGGTTGCCTCACCTTGTCTCATGGGTGGTCCGGCCCTGGATGCTTCAGAAAAGATGGTGGCAGAGCTACATTTTTAGTTATAAAAAGTATGAACATTCTACTTACTGCTCAAAAGGTATGCAGCAGGGGGTTCTGGGTTGCTCTGATTATGGTATTATGATGTATCTATAGATACCTAGGGGTAAGTACTGGCATGGAATACCTTATGGATGATGCTCCATTAGGATTTCATCTGAAGCTGGATCATGAAGTTCAGGTCTCTTTTCAGTAGCTCATAAGATCAGGCCATTAGTTCCAAATAAAATTGTAAGAGTGAACACCAACATAGGCTTCACTGGCAAATTATTTTTGTAACCTCAAGTAAAGGTAAAGGGACCACTGACCGTTAGATCCTGTTGCGGGTGACTCTGGGGTTGCGGCGCTCATCTCACTTTACTGGCCAAGCGAGCCGGCGTACAGCTTCTGGGTCATGTGGCCAGCATGACTAAGCTGCTTTCTGGTGAACCAGAGCAGCGAACGGAAACGCCATTTACCTTCCCGCCGGAGCGGTACCTATTTATCTACTTGCACTTTGATGTGCTTTCGAACTGCTAGGTTGGCAGGAGCAGGGACTGAGCAATGGGAGCTCAGCCTGTAGCGGGGATTTGAACCGCCGACCTTCTGATTGGCAAACCCTAGGCTCTGTGATCTAACAAACAGCACCACCCACTTCCAACCTCAAGTAAGTTTGTGGTTTATTTCTTTAGTTGTGATAATCCCTAAAACACTAACAGCACAAACCTAGGCATGCCTGCACAGAAAGATGTCTCACTGAGTTCAATGGGACTTACTCCCAGGTAAGTATATATTGGATTGTAGCCTTAAGGTGTTATGCAAACTGAAGAAGCATTACTTAGTGTGTTACTTTTTTGACTTGGTTTTAAAAATAGAATTTCTGTATTTGTGATGGAATAAAGTACAGGATCTTCATCATCATTGACAAATCTATCTAGAATCAGGAGCCTTCTAACTTCTTGTTTTGCTTCTCGTTTATTACAATAGGTAATGACCAACTTATTTGTGTTGAGGGGGAAGAAACACCCTTCGTAATGCAAAACGTTCTAACCAGATATGTTAGATTTTGGGTCAGATAATTATTATTTTTCAAGTGAAGTCAGTAATAACAGAAAAGGTTGGAAAATACATGGCTTTCATATTGTGCATAATTTTAAAAAAATCATTAATAAATAAACCCCCTCCATCATGGAAATAATTATGAAGCACTTATAAAGGCAACGAGCTATAGGTCTATGGTAAACATGCAAATATATTCAACAAGCAACACAAAATTGGTTGTAGTAGTCACTGCTGAATTCACATTCCAATAGGCTCTACACAGCATTTCCCCCTGAATGGTGAACATGTCGACTAGAATCTTACAAACACTTGGATTTCAACTTGGGAAATGCCCTTTCACTTGCTGGACATCTTGAGGTTGGTGTTTGACTCCCAAAGCGTGACTCTAAATAATGAATACGAATATTGTGACACTGGAGTCAACACAGACTAAAACAAAGAATCGCCCACATTGCTAGCTGAGCCCAGTCACTAAGTCTTTCTTCTCCAGATGACTTGGGTCCCCAGACACATCGTATGTTGCCCTATAAAGGAGGATTTGAAACTGGATGGTCAATGGGATTCTTTTGTTTACTTTTTCCACTCGAAAAATGAAGTTGTCCCATCCATGTGAGGTCTTCCGCTTCTGCAATGACACTTTCCTTCTCTCTGCTCTCCTGTGGATCTCCCCCAACATCTGGTTTGGTCCCTCCCTCCAACACTCTCTAGGAGAGATTTACTGGGGCGCAGTGGGGAGGTGGAAGAGGAGAAGAAGGAGAGTTGTGTTGCCCCAATGGGGAGTCTTTGCATGAATGGGATGACTTCATCAGGTACGGCCCCAAGACTCCTGCTGCTACATTACAAGCTGCACACATCCAGGCCTGCACAACATCTGTGCAACTCACCAAATGGGACACAGCTTGCTAGCTATGCATTGTGGCTTGTTATGTGTGCTGTAGCCTTCTCTTTCTGCAGGCCAAGAACGGTTAAGATGGTATGCTGAGCTGTTGGCAGGCCACAGCAGGTGACTGCAGAGGTGTGTGGTGTTCACAAATTGTGCAGGCCTGTCTGAAACAAAGGCAGTGGCGGGGCTGCGGGAGTTTGAGCCTAAGCAAAATCAGCATCCAGCTATAGGCATATGTCATAAGTGGCATATGTCACTCAACTGCAGCCATTGCAATTGAAATATTTTCGCAACTGGAAAGCTTACCTCTTGGCAAGCAAATCTCTATCTGGACACTTTCTGTGGCCACTGATGATTTGATATACCGCCACGCAATAGCTGTCAGTTTGACATGATAAATATAAATATGCAATTCAGCCCTTGGCATAAGGTCCTGTGTATTCTGTAAGATACTCATTGCTTCTGGACAATACTGAAATCTTTACACATTATTTCCAAGGGGGAGAAAAAGTATCTTGTATTGCTCAGCAAGTTGAATGTTTGCAAAATGAAGATGTACATTTGACTAACACAGATGAAAAGTTCTTGTCAACATTCTGAGCTGTTGAAGTGTGTGTGTGTGTGTGTGTGTGTGTGTGTGTGTGTGTTCCTTTCTCATCAAAAGGGATAGAAAAGTAGGAAAGATCTCGCTCAAATGCTTATTAACTCACATCTACCACCTCTACCAGCACGACCGCTATGACATCAAAGTACTGTAAATTATCAAAAGCAATGTACAGAAAATTACAAATTCATTTCAAAATACGTCACATTGCTACAACTGAGATAAAAAGTGCTTGTTCGTTTTTGTCAGGAAAAAAGTCCTTCTGAAGTAGAAGTGCCGCCTTGCTTCGGTTTCAAATAAAAATTGGATGCTCCATCTGGGTTGTGCTACAAGTAACGTCCTTCTGCTTCCATAGTTGACAGACTAACGACACCGATGGATTGTGAAAGAAAGAAAGAAGATTCCACCTAAACATTAGGAAGAACTTCCTGACAGTAAGAGCTGTTCGACAGTGGAATTTGCTGCCAAGGAGTGTGGTGGAGTCTCCTTCTTTGGAGGTCTTTAAGCAGAGGCTTGACAACCATATGTCAGGAGTGCTCTGATGGTGTTTCCTGCTTGGCAGGGGGTTGGACTCGATGGCCCTTGTGGTCTCTTCCAACTCTATGATTCTATGAAAGGCGCACCCCCCACACAGGAGTATTAACTGTCAACATGCCTGGTTACCAAGCAAAGGGGGAAAAGTATCTTCATAAACTCAGGGAAGTCTCCTTCATGGTGTGCCAGCAGTGGTAGCTCAACAGAGGTGCCTTCAGCCTACTTGCCAGCTTTCATCCAGCTCCTCCAGAAGAAACAAAAAAGCGAAGGGGGGGGGAGTACCCTACTGGATTTAGTGATGCCTGTATTGCCTCATGAGAGGCACTATGCAAGAAGGAGGCCCAGCCAGTTTCAGAAATGGGTGTCTCAACAGCTCCTGTGCTGTTCCTCTCTGGGAAGGCTCCCTCACCAACATCAAGTCTAAGAAGCCACGGAGTACCGAGGAAACCTGGAAAAGCAAAAGCAACATTGTGAAGAAGGCATGATTGGTACTGCAGCCTTCTGTCATTTAATAGCAGTGTGCAGCATAGCTGTGGGACTTTCATGTGTTCAGGAGTTCATTATCCAAGACCCGGTCTATGCATGCAGCAGAACAAAGGTGGGAATAAGGTGGCGAAGTTCTAGATTGTGCCTCTTCAAATCTTGCAAGAAATTGAAACAAGTGGCTTACAACAGGAGCCGACTTCATGAGTGGGTGTGTGCAAATCATTGAGCAGGTATGTGCCAAACAGTGCTCTGTTCACAGCCCCAACCACTTCCTCTTTCTCTGAACCCCAAATAACCCCAAAGGTACCAAGGGTGAACAAAAGGGGAAGCTTTGGCTTTGGGGCAGAGGATTACATTCCTTAGCAGAAGGTCCAGGAATGCCATCATCCAACTAACTCTAAGAAGAGGCAGTTTGAGGACCTGTTTGTTCAGGGATGTGCTTGAGGATGAATCTAATTGCATCAGTATCTGCTTGGCCACTGTAAAAACAGGATGCTGGACTAGAAGGGCCATTGACCTCCTCCTGCAGGCCTCTCCTTAGGTTCTTATGAAGGTAGCTGGTAATGAGCACAAGGCTTCAGTCCATCAGTGCTTAAAGTGATGATGGGAGATTAGGGATGCACTAACTCAGGGCTAGGGAACCTTTGGCCCTCCAGTTTTTGTGAGACTCTAACTCCCATCAGCCCCAGCCATTACAACCAATGGTCAGGGATGATGGGACTTAGGTTTGTTTGTTTATACTTTTCAAATTTGTACATTTCACTAATTTTAAAATGACTTTGACACTTCAAAACTTCCTTCTCCCTCTTTCTGCAGTTCCTTAAATTCGTTTTTAATATCTTCTGCATATCCAAATTAACTCAATTTGCTAATTTATTCATCTTCTTTAAATTTATACTCATATAAAACATATTACAATAATCCTGCCAATGTTTTTATCTGTTTATAATTTATCAATAAACAATTTTCATTATTTTGTTTTAAAAAAAATGTTATCCTGATTTCTTATTCTTCCAGTAAGTTTCACCATTTCTGCATATTTCTTAACAATAAAATAATAATAAAATTTTATTTATATCCCACCCTCCCCAGCCAAAGCCAGGCTCAGGGTGGCTAACAACAGTAAAAATAAAATCACAGCCAATTAATTGAAATACATTCTAAAATCAATTCAGAATCAAATTGATGGCAACCATTGGGCTAGAGTTCTATGAGGATTACCGAAGGAGGGGGTCAGACTGTACCTTGGCCAAAGGCCTGGTGGAACAGCTCTGTCTTGCAGGCCCTGCAGAAAGATGTCAAGTCCCACAGGGCCCTGGTCTCTTGTGACAGAGCGTTCTACCAGATCCACAGATTTGTCTGCATTCTTCCTTTGCTGGGACTTCTGCTTCTTTCCATTTTGGGGCAAGTAACATTCTTGCTGTTGTAGTAGCATACATGAATAAGTTTCTATACAGTTTAGGTAGTTCTGTCCCTATAATTCCCAAAAGAAAAGCTTCTGGGACTTATGAACCAGCAACATCTGTACGGCCAAAGGTTCCCCAGCTGCCCACAACCCTTCAGTCATGTACTTATTACCCTTGTCCATCACCTTCCACACATCAGAGGGCAAAGGTCTGCAGTGGTGAGCTTTATCCGGAGATGTAGGCTCCCTGTGCATAGTTTAGACTGAGTCATGATCATGCAGGGACATAGAGCAGCTTCACCACTACAGACCACCTCCTCCAATCATGTTTATGTTGGTGACACAGGGCGACAGAAATGCGAAGACAGGAGCAGGACCATCAAGCATGTTCTTTGCTCTCTCCCTCATGCAATTCTATTTGCCTGAGGCTCAGAATGACTGACCAGGGCTTTCATGAAAGTGTGGACCCTCTAACCTTATGTAGATCCTTCACCCTTGGTGGTAAATTGTCTCGGATCCTGCGCATTGCCTGGAGAGGTGGCTCATTGAAATAAGGCGGCTCTCCATCGATCATCTCTATGACCATGATGCCAAGGGACCAGATATCCACCTGCAATATACATCCATGTATTAAAGTCTGAAAGGTGCTGCACACAGATGTCTAATCCCCATAGAGACATTGTCCTATCAATATTTTTAAAAGAGTTAAGTCTGCTTGGTGAAAATCTCTCCTGAAGGGCTGATGACACAGGGTGGATCTACACACAGGGGAAAAACCTGCTATGAATAAGTCAGAAATTAAATCATTGGAACAAAGGAAAAAATGCTATGTAAAAATCACATATATATTTTTTGCTCTGCGGTGCCATCTGGAGTTGAATGTTTATAATGCATTCAAAACACTTAAAAAAAAATAATACTAATGTAGCTGAGTCCCAAGAGTGAGATTACACATTTGGTTCAGGGTGGCTCTGGAAAGATATCTAATCCCAACCCAGGCAGTTGGGATTTTTAAAAATCTGGAATTTCTTCTCCTGCTGGAATAGACTGTGTTACCAGTTTCCATGCACTGGGTTTCACTGGCTATCACTGCCTATGCTTAAATTTAGTAATGCCACTGAAACTAGAAATTAGTCAGTTAATTAAGTCAAAATCTAGTGTGTTTGTAATTCTCGGCCTTTTGGAGAAGATCAAGTGCAGTACAGTTAATCCTTGATTGTATAATGAGCCCTGACTCTGGTTCAATGAACGTTAACATTTTTCTAATTCGAACTGAGATTGATTATGAGTTAATTTATATTTTCTGTGCTTGCACAGTCAGCATGTAGATTTTGTGGGGGGTGGGGTAGCTAAATTCAAAGATGCTGCAAATTGTTGTTATAACTTTCAATTGAGTGTGTCATGCTGGATTAGGGATTCATTGAGCAAATAATAATAATAATAATAATAATAATAATAATAATTATTATTATTATTATTATTATTATTATTATTATTAGGCATACCCTGCCCATCCGGCTGGGTTTCCCCAGCTACTCTGGGCGGCTCCCAACAGAATATTAAAAACACGATCAAACATCAAAGAAATAATAATGAAGTGTGCATGCACACGAAAGCTTATACCCAGAACAAACTTATTTGGTCTCTAAGGTGCTACTGGACAATTTTTTTTTATTTTTTTCAATAATATTTTTGACAGGGTGGCTTTGCCCATCAACTACAGGCACCCTGGCCCAAGAATTCATCTGAGCAGAAATCCTGTTTAGTGGGTAGGTTTACTTATTTATTTAAGAAAATACTCAACACCAGAAAGCTAAAACACAGTATTAAAGATTGAACCGTGGTTTATTTTGCAACTTCGGTATGATAGGCCCTAAAATGCAATGACCTTATCTTATGTGCAGCCATAAGGCATGATGGATTTTTCACTTTGCACTGAGGAATAGATTACATAATCAATGCATCCCAAATGGCCACTTACAGTTTCCCTTTCTAAACATGCAGTATTACCAAGGATTACTGGATGGAGAAATGTATCATGCGAACTGCTGGTACATGAGAATCTTTGCAGCAATTTCTGAGACCCTGATAGCTTCTACAGGGCACCGAAACTGCTGCAAAGGCCTGTCCGTTCCCATGAAGCTTCTCCCATGGGAAAATGTGCAAGGACATTTTGAAGCTGTGGCTTGTAGCCAATGCTAGTTCTACCCACTGAAATCAATGCACACGACTAACATAGGCACCAGGGCCGTCTTAAGTATATCTGGTGCCATCATGCCAGAAGCTTTGCCAGGGCTGGAGGAGGCGGGCAGCGGTTGGAGGGCAGCTCCTCCGGCGGGGAAGAGGCTGAGGCTCTGGGCGCAGCGCTGCTTCAGTGAGGCTGGCGAGGGCAGGGAGCTAATGTCAGGAGGAGCCACATCCATCCTCTGCCTCTTCCCTGGTGCCCTCCAGAACTTGGCGCCCTGCGTCCCGCGCCACTTGCCTCTATGGGCAAGATGCCCCTGATAGGCACATTGATTTTGATACGGACCGGAGGGGGGGGTACCTCTTTCCCCTTCCTCTCCCTTGAACGTCCGAGGCGATGACCTCGAGGGTACCCACTGTACACCCACCCTCAGTCCCCCTCACCGTTGCACAAGCACCACACTTCTCCCACAACCCCCTTTCTTCTTCCTTCCACGAGCGAAATAAGCTCATATACATGAATATATTCCCCTATCTCTCCCTATGCCTATTTGCGCTCCATACTTAGAACGAGTAGACCGGGTGTCTCTGTATCCCCGCTTATTCCTATGCCTGCGTTTTAGCCAATCACGGCCATGCATTCATCCTGCAGAGGCGAGCTCAGGGAGCTACTGCACGCCTCATTTCACTTCTGACAAGCTGCTGACGGCCCCCCGCTGCGAGAACAATGGAATTGAAACTCCTGACCTCGTAAACCTGTCAAACTCTTGTTACAATGTATCCATTTTTTCAAGAATGGATACATTCTATTTCCGCTTTTGATCAGCACTACGGAATAGGCTGGAAGCTATCGGAACCTTTGGAAATTCATATAAAATCAACCACAACTCCGATTTCCTCGCTCTTGGTGTCGTTCAACTCAGTTTCCTCTGGACTCCATGATGCTACCCTGACTCCATAATCCCCTAGACGACAGGTCACGTACACAGGAACTCCTTAATCCTGTCAGATCGTTCTGCCCAGCCCTTCCTCCGGGCAATGCCAGGTGGCAGACGATGCATATCACCGACCCATTGTCCCGCCGCCACCAGTACTCAGGAAATGTATATTTATGCACATCCCTCGCTCTGCATATTTCCCCCTCCCTTACCCTAGATGTTAATTAGTGCAACCCCGCCTCTCTTTAATATATTCATGACGTGTGTAATGTAATCATGATGTAACCCATAAAACCCAGCCTTCCTATAATGTATTCATGACATTTTCTTGCACTGTATTCTGGGACGTGGAGGGAACTTTTAAAAGTTTATGTCACCCCATTCTCGGGGTTCAATCTCATCTTGAACCTGTTGCGCAATAAACTTGGATCTTCGCATTTTGCTCCTGTGTCCGGCTGAGCTTCCTTTTCCTCCGCAAGGACCCGCGGACTCTGTCCGACGAGCTGGGTGGCAGGGCAAATACGCACCCAGATTTACCGTAACAGTTTGGCGCCCAACGTGGGGCTTGAGCGGTTCTCCCGGGCTGCTGACCGGGGGCCCCGAACTCTTCAGCCGGCTCCGGGCCACTTTGCCTGGGAAGACCCTTTTGGACCTCCGGCCATCTCCCGGGCGGTAATCAGGAGTCCCAGGAGCTCAGTCGGGGAGCAAAAGGGATCCAGCCGGCTTATTCAACGGTCCCGGGATCGGATCAACGTAGAAGAAGCGTGAGTATAGGAAAATCCAGTGCACTGGTGGGAAGGGGTGGAAATCTCCTGGCAACTGAATCTCTGCCCTCCTCCTATCGCTCATTCTTACCTTTCTCTTGGTCCGGTTAGTGAGAGAGACCGTGGACCACCGCTCAGCCCGAAAAGGGGGGCTCTGAGCTCTATCTCTTTCTCTAAACTCTCCAGCCAGCCGCACCAATTGGGAGTCCGAGGGTAAGACGGAGAGAGCCGACTTGAAAGACAGCCGACTCTCTGCAACGGACATCCCAGTTGAAAGCAAGGGGTTGGAGTTCTCTTTCCGAACTTCTTTAGCGCCCGGCAAGGGGGCGGGAAGTGGTCTTGCTTTCTATCACCAATCCCAGCCGCACCGGTCAGGCCACGTAACACGTGTATCGTGCGTGAGCCCGCTTCCGAAAGCAAGGGGGATTTTCGACCCGGAAAACTCTATCCAGGGACAACCCGATCTGGCACCGCACGGTGCGGGCGTCCAGTAGGGTCCCTTTTCCTGAGATTGTACAATAGGTAGGAGGTTGCCAGGAGGGTAGCCCAGGAGGAATTGGGCAGGAATCGGCAGAGTGGGAAGGAAACCCCAGGAAAACAGATAAAGTGGAGGAACAGGATAAGGAAAGTAGATAGGAAGAGCTCTCTAAAGTAAACCCCGTTAGGAAGTTGCCAAGCAACTGAAATAACATACCCAGATAAACCCCAGTACCCTTAACGGCCCTCCCTCTCTCCCCTTCTCTTTACCCAGACACGCGTGAATTTAAATGGGAACCCAAGCTTCCAAGCACGAGCGGGCTCGCTCCGGGAAGAAGGCTTCCAGAAAGCCATCTGAATCCCAGAGAGACCCCGACTCTCCTCTTGAATTCATCATCTCATATTGGAAGTCCATCCCTGGGCACAAATTACTGTCGAGACAGAAACTAGAGGACCTCTGTAGAGAAATCTGGCCTGACGGCACGGCCTCCGCAAAACCTGAGCTACGATGGCCACCGGGAGGCTCTTTTAACGAGGACCGCCTGCAACACCTAAGAAAGTACCTGATGGAGGAGAAGCCCCGTCAGTTAGAATACCTAGCCGCCTTTGAGACGGTCAGAAAAATGCTCCAGGCTCCAAAAGGAGCGACGACCTACCAACTCCCCATTCTAAACCAAGGGAGACAACCTCTGCCCCCCCCTTATGAAGGACACTCAGCAGATGACTCGACGGAGCAAACGCTCATTCCCTTCTACTATAGGGAAGCTCCCTTGAGTGGAGAGTCTGATAGCGATGAAGAGACAGGGGCACGGGGGGGCACGAGCCAAAGAATTACCCGACAACAGGCTAGAGTAAGGAAGAACATCACCCAGGAAGACTCTAGCCCCATAGAAAAACCCAGAGAAGCCCCAGGGACGTCCAAGCCATCGGACTCTACAGTTGTCCAGATGCCCTTAAGGGCCCTACCAATCCCTCCCCTACTGCCGGACGGACCCCCTCGGATGGTATACACTCACCAACCATTCTATACAGCAGACCTGGTAACTTGGTCTAATCAAATGCCATCCTTAAGAGATGACCCGGATAAATGCCACCGCCAGGTCAGCGCTATTTTTTCAACACATAACCCGACCTGGCCAGATGTTCATGTTCTCCTAAACGCCCTTTTCAACGACGCCGAAAAGGCAGATATTTTAACTAAAGCTGGAGAAGCAATTGAGCTCCCGAACTACCAGGCGGGGCGCCCA